TACCAAGGGACAAAAACAAGTATATGTAAATGACCACGAAGGGATTCACAAGTTTTATAAGATTTCTTCACGTGAACAATGCTGTTTCTGTTACTATGCCATTAATATTTCAAATGAAATAATCCCAGAAAAACAGTAAAGGCTTTGCATTGTTTAATATAAAGAAAGGTAGGATGGAAAGAAGACAGGCTTACCACATGGTAGTAGAAAATTGGTACCTTTTTCATGGGTGTCAAAAAATTATCTTTCAATTGGATGTCAAGTATAAAAAATCCAATGTAAATTGTTTAGTAGATCAATTAAAAGCTAACATTCATAATCATAGGAAGTGGTTTTTAATCAACTCAAATACTCTTCTCTTGGTGCTAAGGCAGAAGGGAAGCAACCTCGGGTATACTTTTCTGGAGCTCACAATTTTCTGTTTTCATTCTATGTGGGCCACCAGCTTTAGGATATTTTTTTAAAAGGCATCTCTAAGAGAAGAGTATGAAAAGGTGCAATAGGCTTATCATCATCATCATCATTTTTTCTTCTGTGTTTGGGGAGCCAGATGGCCTCCTACCAGAGGATCAAGGCACTAAAACGGCATGTGGAGAATGTATGTCTGGATTTACTCTCACTTAATTCCTGTGTTTGGCTATTCTTTGACTCGGCTTTAGGAAGAACACAGAATATTTTTATCTACTTATTTTTCTTTCTCATTGGAGAGCTTAATAGGATGCCAAATATTTTTTCACACAACTTAAAAGAAATGCTTCACTCCTGTCTGTGTAGAGTCTCTAAATACAAATGAGAGAGAGGTTCCTTTTTGAGCTGCCTCATTTACCATCATTTCTCAGGCCCAGTAACTGCTGCCAGTGATTCCATTTGGCTTGATGATAGGAATCTTTACACAGGGCAGCCAGATTCCCCCATGAAAGCAAATACATTTGTATATTTCTCAGTGATTGGTTCAGTTTTCACATGACTAGGACCAAGAAATCAAGTCCATGGACATCTTAGGTCTCTCAGCAACTCAAAACAGTGTTGCTAAGCCACTAGGTGGTTCAGATGACCTTTTAAATCAAATGCAGTTTGCTTATTATGTTGTTTTTGGGATGGCCTTTTTGTTTTGCAAATAACGTAGTGTTTCCTGTTTTTCTTAGGCCTGTGAAATTAGAATGATGATAAAGGTTACTTGTCAATTAAAAGAATCTAACCCTGTGGATGTATAGTTTACTTTTCCATTTTTTTAAATAATTGAAAACCAGAGTCCCTCTTTGTTTTAGAACTCTCTTTGGGTAATTGAAGGAGGCAGTTCCCTTTGTTTTATTCTGTTTTTGTGTGTGACAATAGCAGAACAGTGCTGGTTTTGGAGTGGGTCTTTCTCATGTACTATTGAGTTACTAGTGAGAATTCCTTAGGGAACATGATAATAAGAGAGAATTTGAAAATCATACTTTCAACACTCAATATTGGTAAAGAGCTACTTACATTTACAAAGAGAAAATAAATTTTTCTCAGAAAAAACAAGTTTACTAGCTATATTTTTAATGTTAAGAACTTAGTGTTTATCTAAAATAATTTTCAGAAAGTGATGGGGGTATGGCTCAAATAATGTGATTTGTGTTGATTTTTGCTTTTTACTTCTGAGTAATGTTAGTTTTGTCTGCTACCCATACATAGCAAATGGCTATAATGAAGTTAAGTGAATTGTTTGAGACAAAAGTAAGTCAGTGACTAAATTTTCTTTAAAAAGAATGTAGGTCTGTATTCTATAGGGATAGGCAGTGTGGCTTTGTACATATAATTATCTTTATTTTGCATGATGGTAGTATATACAAACTCAGGTACTTAAAATTTGATTTTGGTCATGAGATGTACATATATAAATATATACACATATTATAGGAATTACTTATCTGACAATTTGACTTTGAAAATTTCATTTCAGGTTTGTAACACTGTCCATAAAAGAGGCATAATTTTAATAGAATTTTATTTTTTTTTTAATTACATGTAAAGATAGTTTTCAACATTCATTTTTTATAAGATTTTGAGTTCCAAATTTTTCTCCCTCTCATCTCCCCTCCCCAAGACAGCAAGCAATCTGATATAGGTTGTAGATGTGTAATCATGTTAAATATATTTCTACGTCAGTCATATTAGGAAAGAAGAAATAGAACAAAAAGAAAAAAACACATGAAAAAAAACCAACCCAAAAAGTTTGAAAATGGTATGCTTCGGTCTGCATTCAGACTCCATAGTTCTTTCTCTTGATGTGGATAGTATTTTCCTTCATGAGTGTTTTGGAATTGTCTTGGATCATTGTAGAGCTAAGAAGAGCGAAGTCTATCATATCCAACAATGTTGCTATTACTATGTACAGTGTTCTCCTGGTTCTGCTCACTTCACTGAGCATCTTTCTAGGTTTTTCTGTAAGTCTTTCCTGGTTTTTCTGAAATCTGCCTGCTCATCATTTCTTATAGTACATTAGGATTCCATCACTATCATCTACCATAGCTTGTTCAGCCATTCCCCAATTGATGGGCATTACCTCAATTTCCATTTCTTTGCCACCAAAGGGGCAAAGGGTATAATCTTACAGAAATTTGAGACCATAGTACAAAAGGTGCCATTCTCTATTTATCCAACAAGGATTTATTAAATACGTTTGTGTACAGGCATTGTGTTAGGTGTAATTCAGGAGGATAGGCACTTCTTAGTTCTTTCAGTAGTGATTTTGGTTGTGTGATACAGTTTGTGTCCATACAATAGTGACTTTTGATATGTTAAGCTAACTGTCTAATGTTGATGTTAAACTAAATGCCTTGGCCTCATTTGCACCATACTTTAACCAGTGTGTAACCAACTCAGAGTAATAATCCAATTTTATTTTTTAAACTTTATTTTGAAATGGATTTTAATATTTTATAACATTTCTCCATAGAAGTTTAGATATAACCCAATTGTCTGACCAAAAAGAGTCTAGAAACTTTCTCAGCCAGCAAATACTTGATCTTTTTACCACATGGAAAGAAATGGCAGCTAAGAGTAGCAGTGGTTTAGAATACAAACTTTTTGCAAAATCTTATGAAGGATGATGGTTAAAGATGGGCCTCAGTTTCCTCATATGTAAAATTATGGTATCGTACTAGATGACCTCTAGGGTTCTTTCCAGCTCTAATTCTATGGTCCTAAGACTATGCACATTTTCACATAATCAAACATTGAGAAGCAGTAGAGAGGAAAACAGATTTAAAGTTGAAAAGTCAACTAAGCAAAGCCTTAGGAGAATGGCTGCATTAAAGGAACAGAATAAGAAAGAGGAACAAGTGATAAGAGTTAGTTAGGAAAATTATGAATAAATGAATGTGTGAATGTAAAAACATTTCTGAAGCTTCTTTGCCAAGCACTGGGGATATAAGAGCAAAAGGAAGGCAGTGCCTGCCTTCAAGGAGCTTATATTCTAATGGGGAAGGCCACATATACAGGGCATTCCATGAATTTTAGTGCAGTTTTAAGCTATTAAAACAACCTTCAGGATTCTTTTAAGCTATTAAAGCTTAAAATTGTGCTAAGACTCATGTGACACCCTGTTTATGGGAAGGGTGTTTGGGATAGTGAGAGGAGCCATAGGGGAACTGATTGACATTCTTTTTCTAGGGAATGGCAGTATTGATTTGATAGCTGTTTAAGAGCTGGACAGTTGAGGTGGGGTAAGAGGAGAGAGGTTATGTTAATGGTGGCGGGGGTAGGAGTGGATGGCAAGAAGATAGCTTTGGTAAAGTGTTGAAGCATGGCTGAGGCTGGCCAAATACAGTGGACTCAGGATAGGAGATACAAAGCTGAGGAGGTTCATTTGTCAAGGATGTAGTCTCTGGAGATCCTAGTGTGTTTCTCTAACCAAGGAAGGACAGAATCCTAAAGAGAAAAGGATTGGTCAAAAGAAAGATCTGGGGGGAATAAGTTCCGAGAAAAACACACTGGACCTGGCAATTAGAAGGTCTTTAGTGATTTTAGAGTGGCTTCACTGAAGTCATTCGGGCAGATGTTAGAGTACAAGGAATTGAGGATTGAGTAGGTAGTGAGGAAGTATGGGCAATGAGTAGAAACTGCCTCAAGAAGTTTAAAGGTTAATAGGAAAAGAGATGAGTTGGGACAATCATTTGAGGGGATAGTGATGTCAAGAGATTTAAAAAAATTAGGATAGAGAAAACTTTTTTCAGGCATAGAAGAAGGAATTTATGAAGAGAGATTGAAGATGCAATAGTAGAAATAGAAAATATTCATTCTTCTATTTGGCTTTTAAAACCCTCTACAACCTGGCTCCAACCTACTTTTTTTGTCTTATTACACATTACTCCCTTTCACATCTACTGTGGTCCAGTCAAAGTGACCTCTTACTTCCTTCACACATGGCATTCCATTTCCTGCCTCTGTGACTTTGCCCTGGACTATTCCTCATGTCTCCTGCGCACTCTCTCTTCTTTGTTTCCTTCAAGATTCAGCTGAAAGGCTGCCTTCCATATGGAACCTTTCTAAATCTCTCCTCACCAGCAGCAAGTGCCTTCTCTCCAAATTCCCCCCTACACTATTTTGTATGTACCTTCATATACAATGGAATGTAAACTTCTTGAGGATAGAAACTATTTCACTTTTATCTCCCCAGTGCCTAGCACAGTGCTTAGTACATGATAGATGCTTAATAAATGCTTGTTAACTGACTGAGAAGAAGAAGGGAGAGATGGAATCTAGGGGTATAAGTGGAGGAATTCACCTTGACCAGACTTAGAACTGATTCTTCCTCAGAAGTAGGGGAAAGTAAGCAGAAGATGGATGAAAACAACAGCTCTTGAGGTGAGGAATAAATTAATTTCTGAGCAACAAGGAAGACCTAGATGAAGTTGTGATTATAATGTAGTTTTTTTTTTTAACCACAGTTACACGTTTCATTGTAGGTTCCTAATACCACTTGGTGGGATGTTAAACTAATCGCCTTTCCCCTCTTTTTCCTGCAGCAATGGTGCACTGGATCCTTGGTATGCAGGTGGAGTGAATGAGAACATCACAGATACTCTTGTCTCAATAGTCATCCCAGATGGGGCCCATCACTTAGATCTATGTGCCAGGAATGCTGATGACCCTGAGTCAGTGCTGTTAGCCCGAACCATGGAAGTTGACTATATGAAGAAGTGGATCACACAGTTTCAGGGTCATCGCTGAAAAGTGATGTGGATGAAACATAATAACATCATGATTTTTTTCCAGACATCACCCCCTGTACTTTATCTGTGCATTCTTTTTCCATTACTAGATTGACGACAAGAGAGGAAAAATACATGTAATAAAATTCCCTCGGCAGGATTTTTATTTTGCAGGTGTTGGACTTCTATATTCCATGTCCATAAAGAGGTCCTTTTCAGATTTTACAAATTGCCAAAAACCTGACCTGGCGTGTCCTCTCTGAACATCAGGGTTCCTGATTGTCTTAGGAAAAAGGGATGATTCTCCTGAGGGATAGCTTGACTAATCTTGGGCTTTTGGTTCCTCACTGGTTGAGTTTTTCGGATCGCTTTGGGGCTACTTGTCTCTTCTCACCAAAGAATTTTGCAAAAACAAACCAACTAACAAGCCAGAAATGGTATTAAGGGCATGGGGGTGATGAAAAAAATGATACCTGCTGTTGTGAAAACGTTCTCAACAGGCCGATATCAGGACACATCTGAGCATGGAAAACGTTTCTCTTGTTCTGAAGTTGTTAACCAAGGATGTAAGTTGGTTTGTGACATTGTAAATAAGGAATAGGGCTGGACCTTATACCTGTTTGTTTATATTAAAAGACATACCAGCTGTCTTTTAACACAGCACATATTTAGTTTGGTTGGTTGTGTGATTTTTTTTTTCTTTTATGTGTTTCTTCCTTCTTGGCCTCTTCTCTTAATTCTGGGATATTTGCCACAGTGGTTCTGCCAGAGAGAGATTTGGCTATTTTCAGCTCCATTTCTCTTTGTTTTTTAGCTCAGTTTTGGGACACTTTTGATAGGCTCTGCTGGTTTAAAAAGAAAAAAAGATTTAACTTTGCTCATTACATTTTTTGAGGGGCTTGCTTGTATATAATTTGGCACATATAGAAGTTTCAATATAGACTTTAAAATTATAAATTAACTATTCAAAATTGGTTACATTTACCTTTCCTTTTTTGTTGTTGGTTGGGGTGATGTTGTGAAAGCCTGGGGTGTTGCAGCACACAGGGGCAGGTGCACAACAAGTTTCCTGTTTGGTATCCAAAAAGGCCAACTGACCAATTCAGAGAGACAGCATTTTTGACATTAATAAATGGCCGAGCTGTTCCTATTTTCAAGCTTTTGACTTCTTTCATGCAGCACTTACACTGAAACCTTTCTTTCTGAGAGCTTTTTTAGGATAACAAATAGGGCTGGATCAAAACCTTTCAAGGGCAGAGAGGGACTCTCTTAACAGCTTCTACTTTGTTGAAAGCCTTTTTCTCTTATTTCTGTTGGTCTCTTTCTTCAGAGTCTTCCCATTGCCCTGCCTTGGGAACAATGTCTGTTCTTTAAAAAATTTACCTCAAGCCTAAAATTTTAAAAATGCCGATTTATGATTCTATCCCAGATATGAGGACAATTGTGTGTTTGTGTGATGTAGGAAATACAAGAAGATAATTGTCTTTTTTTAGAAGCATTCAGTTCCATATTATATTGAATTATTTAGTCATTGGTTTCATTTTAAATTCAGCACAATTCCATTACGTGGGGATCTTATGACCAAAGTGTAACAAGTGCTGTTTTTTGTCACCTATGAGTAGTTATGTAATTCAGAGTTTATAAAATGAAGTTTTTTCGTTATGTGTGTGTGAATGACCCAAGAGAATTTTTATTAAAATGCCCATTTTATACTATGTATTATATCTATGCAGCATATATATATTTGTATATATGAACATATAAATGGGATTTTTAATGAAAAATTTTACCTATCCTATTAACTTCCTGAGAAAATTAGGCCTAAGAAAGTTTTCATTAAAAGTCTCTCTCTCTCTCTTTCTTTCTTTCTCCCTCTTTCTTTTTCTTACCCCCCCCACACTCACATACACCCCCCACGATTTTTAATGAAAATTAAGCCCAAGAAAGCTTTCATTAAAAATCTAATACATGCATACATACACACTGTATATATGTATGTGTGCATACATACATACATACTTATGTATATATGACACATAGCTTAAAACTATCTTTAGAATATTGTTACTTCACCTGATATTATTTAGATTTAGTGGCCTTTGGTGGTGGTGAGGGAGCCTTTAAATAATATTTCCCACAACCTGGTATTTTTGAGAGGCTGCTAGGCATCATAGATAGTATTGGGCTTAGAGATAGGAAGAACTTGGGTGTGGATCCTGACTCAGATGATACTTAATAACTCTCTCACTCTGACCAAGCCTCACAGTTTCCTCACCTAGATAAAATGGGGCTATTAATATTGTAGCATTTATTTCACAGAATTTTTGTGAGAAGCATGTGAAATATGTATATAAAGAACTTTGAAAATCTTAAAAATACTCTAATACCCAGTAAATATTATTTAATCCCCAATAATTTCATAGATTGTTAAATCTTGAAGGGACTTCACGATATGGAATGTTAGAACACAGAATATAGAACATTAGAGCAAGGAGGAACCTGAGATCCATAAATATGCAGAATATTAGAACATGAAACATAGACTATAACAGTGGAATGGGAACTTAGTGATCATTTCATTGGACTACTGCATTTTATGTATGGGAAAACACGCTGAATGAGGTGAAGAAGGACTTGCCCAAGTTACTATTTAGTCTGAATTTTCCTGTATATTTTGTAACAGATGAAAACATTGACTGAAATTTGGTTTCAGTATTCTACATTTAATGTTATTTTTACATGTAACAATAGCTAAGATTTTCACAGTTCTTTTGTTTTGCTATCATTACAAAAATTTGTACTGATTTAATATAATAAGTACTTCCAGTTGACATATGTGATGCTGGAACTTTCAATGGGGAGAAGTCTTTGGAAGAAAAATTATATATATCTACAGAAGATGGGAAAAGTAGACTTTAAATCAGATTTGGCTTATCTGTTATCTTTTAAAGATCAAGAACATCAGGCAGGCCTTTTTTTTTTTTTGGCTTAGAAATAAAATTCAATGAGAACTCTGCACGTAGTACTTTAATAATTCAATGGGTCTGTGATCTTACTGACATGAATACCTTGTTGAGCAGTACAGATTGTGACCCATGCATATTTTTCCATCGTGTCAGATTCTTGTCTGTGTCCTTCCACAAATCTTGCATGCAGAACACACTTAACATTCATTGAATGAATGAGTGAATGAATATCACTTGCTTCAAATTAGATGCTATTTTATATAAAGTGATAGTTTAATTAGATTTTAGTATAAATTTCAGATTTTGTTCAATTGTACTGTTCCATTTGACAAGTGTTTAATATGTGCTTAATATGTCCCTTGCACTGTAGTCAGTGTTTATAGGGGATCAAAAATAAATGTATAGCATGGTCCCCACTATAAGCAGGTTTATGTTCTTTTGGATAAATGAATGCATGAAAAAAGGAAGACATGAAAAAAATCAGGAAAAAATATGATTATAAATTATTAATAAAAAGACAATTGTTTTCTACTGACAACAACAAATAAAATTAATTTGAGCTAAGGTCAATTTTCCTGCTCCTTTGCATTCCAAATAGAAGCAGAAATTTTTGGCTAAAATCTACTTTCTAGACAATTCTATTGGAGGGACATTCTGCTAACAGGTCAAATTTTCTTAATAAAGGTTTTAGATCCTAAATTATTATAAAAATAACTTCACTAAATTTTTATTAAGCTCTAGGTAGTTATTAAAGGAGATAGAAAGATCAAAGGATGATAATCTATTTCTATAGTCTATCACTGAAAGAGACTTTAGAGATCAGTTGGGTCTTTCCTTGGATGAGCTCTTGGTGGAGAAAACAGCATAATTCAGCCTTCTTTCCATTTTCCATTATCATCTGGCAAAATGAAATACTCCATACTGTAATAGTAACTCTTATTTTTGACATCTATTATTGAGTCATACCTCTGTCTTCTCTTTCCTAGGCCAAAAAAAAATCCCAGTTTCTTATTGTATGGGTGTTAAGTGTTCCTTAGTGTGATTCTTTCTACACCTTCCTTCCCCTGCTGTTTTCCACTTTTATCTTGTGTGTTCTATCCAGTCCCATTCTTGACAAAAGTTCTCAGTCCATTGCTGTTCAGCCTTGGGGTAGGGATAGTTGGGGGAGGGAACAAGAGAGAACTGCTTTCCCTTTACTGGTAATTTGCAAAATCTTTTAACTTGGTTTCCTGAATTTAGCAAGTAGGAATACGGAAAACTGAAATGAGGAACAGAAAATGCCTTCCGTTTGTCTTGGTGTTTGATAATATATGCAACCTCTCTGGGTGGTTTAAGCGGTTTAGGTACTTTCTATAAAAGGGATCTTTTAATGACAAAACTAATGTGATTATCCGAGTGACTGTGAGAGGGGTATTGAAGGCTTAAAGAAAATCTGTTAGAATAGCTGAATGTATCTGCTTAATCCTTTCTCTAACGTGGGTGAACAATGCTCTGGGAAGCTATTGGTCTTTCTTTCTTGCAGTAAATGCTTGGTCTCCAGAGGTAGGGACTGTTTGCAGCACTTTATACCCTTAGCTTTACCTTCTAAAGAGCACAAAAGCACAGAGAAAACCCAAAGGGACTTGAGAGCTTACAGAAAGCCAGCTTCTCCTGTGTTAGCCAAAGGCAAAACTTACTCTGGAGGAAATGCTTTCTCTGCCTTATCATTAGCTACTAAGAGAGGAAACATCTCAGAACCAACTGCCACAGATGTGACAAGACTGTTATCTAAAAAAAGCACTAGGACTAGCTCCTGCTAGTGTTAGGTGCTGGATGGATAGACACATAATTCTTTGAAATTCAAAGCTTAATTGCTAAGGAATGGTCATTTATTCATCTTTTGTGAAGATTTTTTTTTGTTCATCCTGTCCTTCTACTCTGTGACCTATGGCATTCTATACTTCTCTTTCGCCAAAAATGAATAAACCTACTGTCTCCTGAGGCTGCCCATTAGATAGTTCTTATTGTTTCTTCCTGATTTTGAGAAGAAATGAACTTTTGGTGTTCTCTCTAGAGTCACGAAGAATAATAAGTTTTCTCCCTCTTCGATGTGACAGACCTTCAAATAACTGAGGATAGCTATCATGTCCTCCTCCCAAGTCTTCTCTATACATCTATGAAAGGAAAGACTTAGATTGCATTGTCTGAGTCCATGGTCTGTAGGGTCACACCCTTTCATCTTTCAATAATAATAATAACAATAGTTGGTTTATGTAATGTTTTATGGCTTGCAAAGTTCTTTCCCCCAATAGCTCCATAGCCCCATGAAGGCTCCATAGAACATGGTTCTTTTTTTTTTTTTTTGTTCAGCATACCTTCCTGGTCATGCTCTAATTTCTTCATGTACTTCTTAAAATCTAGAGTTTGGAGCTGACTACAGAGTTCTGGATTAGGTCTGACCAGGGAAGAGTCAAATAGGGCTAGCACCTTTCTTATCTGGATGCCGCATTCCTAAGATATAAACCAAGTTTGGATTAGCTTTTTTGGTAGTCATGTCACCCTGTTGTTTTCAGCCCACCAAATCTCTCAGGTCTTTTTTTGTATGAACTGCTGTCTAGCCTAACTGCATCTTCTTCTTCCTATACTTGTGTTATTGACTCATTTAACCTAAGGCGGGGTTTACCTTTTATCCTTACTAAACTTCAACTGAGTCTGCAGAGGAGACA